ATTTAATAATGCAACTACTAAATATTCTTAGGACTAACAAGAATTTTTAGTTTGATAAATTATAAATGTTTAAGCTAAGGTTTTATTACTTAATGAGATCAAAGGGAGATATTATACGTTTTAATCTCTGTGCTGAGTCAGTTGCGTTGATTAATTGACTAAATGATTACATAAATTATAAAAATTATTGACACGAAGAAAATTAAATCTTTGTGATTAATCCAAGAAGTTTACTTTAAAGTACAATTTTTTAAAAATCAAACTGAAGCAGAATATTTAACATTTATCAAAATCCTTTGCCCAAATTATGAATCAAATTCATTGATTATTCAGACCTATATATTACTACTCTTACTTTGTAATGTTCTCAAATTTATATTAGATATATTCATTTTAAAATAAACATATATCATATATAAATATATATTTATTTCACACCTAATATGTATACTTACAGATTAGCATTGACCCGTATCATATAGAAATCTGGCCAGGTTATATTACATCCATTCGTCAACATGAGCGGGATATTCTTCTCTGCACTGAGATTACACATAAAGTTATGCGCACCGATACTCTTTACACCATACTTCGTCAACTAACGGTCGAAACTAAAGACTATCAAAAAGCTTTTAAGACTGAAGTTATAGGTAAGCAACAGACATAATCTATGTTATACATATGAATACATGGATCTTATTTTATTTTAGGTTCTATTGTGTTGACGGACTATAACAATAAAACTTATCGTATAACTGACGTTGATTTTACGAGTTCTCCTCTATCGACATTTTCATTGAAAGATACAAAAGTTTCATTTGCTGAATATTTTAAATCGGTAAGTTTAGGTTTCACATATATACAATTATTACTATAAATAAAACCAATTATTATTATGTACAATAATAAAACAAATTGGGAACAAATAGTTCCCATTCTTTTAATAATTTATTATAATCCGTTTTAGCAATTTATCAGTAGTTAAGTAGTACAAGTATTATAGTACGACTATTATTAACAACTATTGCGATTATTATAACAGTAGGAAGCTGATAGCTATAAATTAAAAAATTTAGTAAGAGTTCATATTCTGATTTAAATAAGGCTAAAATAGTTCTTTGCACCCTTTACAATTGTATAACGATCCTATGCTTCTCATAGGAGTTAAAATTTATATATATAATTTATATATATAATTTACATATGTAATTCATATGTTTAATTTATATATATAATTTATATATATTCAATTGTATTACATTGAATAGTATAATATAATAATATAAATCATAATGTAGTTTGATAGTGTACATTATTAGAAGACATAACTATTTTATGTAGGTATCCAAAGGAACAAAACTTACCATATTTACAATTTTTAAAACTCTCATTTGAGCACAACAAACTTTTCTATCACATGCGTCCTACGTTCAAAAGGACCGAGGTGCTTTTCGGGATGTTTTTTCAATTACCACGCCACCAAAAACCAGCACCAGAGGTTGAAATTGAAGACCCAATCCTTGCTTTATGGACTCTTTCAAACAAATTTTCCTTCCAGCTAAGTTAAGTTTAGAGTTGAGTATGAGACCCAGATATTCTTGTTTAAGCTATTTTTATCTTGGTTAAGAAAAAGAAAGAAATTATAGGCCTACTAGTAAAGAGTATTACCTCATTTTTATGTTGAGTTAGTTATAAAACCATATTCACTATATCATTTTTTTTAGTGACTGACAAAGAGTTAATAATATTAGATAGTAACTGTGAAAATTTGTTCAATGCGTTGATAGCATATTCGTTCACATAAAAAAGTTATAGCTCTGCATCCAAATTATTTCAACATTATTATTTTATCATCATTGATTGTCATTATTACTATTAATTATCATCATTTTTATTATTAATGATCATTATAACCGATTATCATTTTTATTATTAATACTCATTATCACTGATTATCATTATTATTATTATTAATTAACATGATCACTTATTATCGTTTTTATTATTATTATTTATTACTATATTTATTTATTATTATTTATTATTATTATTTATTATTATTATCATTTTTATTAATAATTATTGTTAATATTATTATTATTAATTAATATTATTAATTATTATTATTATTATTAATAATTATTATTATTAATTATTAATATTATTATTAATTATTATTATTATTAATTATTATTATTATTAATTATTATTATTATTAATTATTATTATTATTAAGTATTGTTATTATTATTATTATTATTATTATTATTATTATTATTATTATTATTATTATTATTATTATTATTAAGTATTGTTGTTCTTATTATTAATTATCATTATTATTACTATTATTATTCATTATTATAATAATTATTATTATATTAATTTTATTATTATTAATTATTATTATTATTAATTATAATTATTATTATTATTATTATTATTATTATTATTATTATTAATATTATTATTATAATTATTATTATTATTATTATTATTAATTATCATTATTATTACTATTATTATTCATTATATATTTCATCACTATTCTCATTATTAATTAAACAAATAAATGATGTATTATAATGTTAGAATTGTGAAAGATACTCTAATATAAAAGATTTTAGATATGCATATATACATATTTCTAGTACATATACTAATGCACCTTTGAAATGTTCCAATATTTGTAGCGTTATAATCTAATCATAACCGACTCCAGTCAACCAATGTTAATATCGAAACCAACCAATAAGCATATACGTGGTGGTCAAGAAGAATTTATCTCATTGATTCCTGAGTTCACGCGTGCAACTGGTATAACTGATCATATGAGAACAAATATTCGGTAAGTAATATTTTTTCTGTTATAACAACAGATGAACTGTTAACATATGCCTTTGGTATTTTATTTTAGTTTCATGAAATCGATGAGCGATCATACTCGGCTCAATCCGGAAATGAGACTTCAACGCTTGAGAAATTTCAACGAACGTCTCAATTCTTCTGCTAAAAGTACAGAGGTTCTTAAAGAGTGGAATATGAAATTGGATAATGATTTACTTAAAATTCCAGCACGTATTTTACCCTGTGAAAAAATCTTACTAGGTCATGGTGTTCGGTATATATGTGATGAGAAAGCTAACTGGACCCGCGAGTTCCGAAACTGTTCAATGTTTTGTAATGCCGAAATTAGTCGTTGGCAAGTAATCCTCCCATCACGTTGTTGTCGTGAAACTCAATTGTTTGTTCAAATGTGTATTAAAGTAGCAAGAAATATGAGTTTAGTACTGGCCACACCAAAATAGTAAGTACTTATAAATAACTATAAATTATATCATTTAATATTAAAGACGAAAAGGTATTAATATTTTTATATACATTGAATTTATTTATTGAATGTTTTTGCTTAAAGACTAACAATAAGTATTTGAACCTTAAAACTACTTATATATATGTTTATCAAGTCAATTGATTCCTTGTCAGTAATATTGCAGGAAACTGCAATGTTTAGTTTAGTTGTATTTGTGAAGGGAATGAACATTGTCACTTGTTTGAGAATTTTTTAAGAGGACTCTAAATATGACGACAAGCTTGAATAACCTAATATGCGATTTTTCCGAATGTTGTGGGCCTGAAACGGGCGGCAGTAAAATTTGTTCTGTTGCTTCTACAACAGTTCAAGAAAAACTTACTCTTGCTTTATTACCCAAGCCATTCTAACATTCTTGTCTCCATTCATGGCACTTTATAACTTAAAAACCGTTTAACAATGTACTTCAATAAAGTATGGAATGAAATAAAGAAATTAAGATAAATACGAGATCATATCTCATAACTTTAACAATTCGACGCCTGTCATTAAATATACTTGACGTTATGGAAAATCAGAATATTCACCTTCAGAGTGTAATTTAAACTTTATTAAATGCACCTGCTCAGTGCGCATTAATAGTTTAACAAGAAATTGTCTTAGAAATAATTAATTAGAAATAATTAACCTTAAATTTATTTGCTTTGTTTGTTTTTAACTTATATAGCATTGAAATGGATGACGATCGTAACAACTCTTATACAACTGCAGTGGAAATGGCAACCTCAGAGGATCCTCAAATTTTAATGATTGTTATTCAACAACCCAACGAGGAAAAGTAAATATATACGAATAATATACATATATCTATATAATTTCATTATTATAATATGTTCCAGGTACTCTGTCATTAAAAAGAAGTGTTGCATCGATCGACCTGTAGCTTCACAAGTTGTTACTATGAAAATGATAGCACCTACTTCAGAAAAAAGTGCAGGTTTAATGTCAATCGCTACTAAAGTTGTCATACAAATGAACGCCAAACTACGTGGTATACCATGGATGATTGATCTACCACTCAAAGGTCTAATGACAATTGGATTTGATGTTTGTCATTCTTCTAAGGATAAGAATACCTCATATAGCGCCCTTGTTGCCACAATGGATGTCCGCAGTTCATCAAGATATTTTTCGGCTGTTAGTAAGCACCAAAAATTTCAAGAGCTTTCAAATGATATTATACTGCATTTCACATTCGCTTTGAGAGCATATAGAAATGAACACGGATCTTTGCCTGAACGCATTTTATTTTATCGTGATGGTGTCGGCGATGGTCAACTGCATCAAGTAGTAAATACTGAGCTTAACCATTTACGAATCAAGGCACAAGAAATCTATGAAGCGGCTGGAAAACATGAAATTGGACCACGTTTAGCTTTCATAGTTGTTTCCAAACGTTTAAATACTCGCTACTTTTTCAGCAATAATAATCCACCACCAGGAACAGTCGTTGATGATGTTATAACATTGCCGGAACGTTATGATTTCTTCATAGTTTCGCAAAGTGTGCGTCAGGGTACGGTTTCTCCTACGAGTTATAATGTAATTTATGATACCATGGGTCTCACACCAGATCGTATACAAATGCTCACATACAAAATGACGCACATGTACTATAACTACACAGGTACCTGTCGTGTCCCGGCTGTTTGTCAGTATGCGCATAAGTTAGCTTATTTAGTTGCTGAAAGCATACATTGTCCACCCTCTCAATTACATGAAAGAAATTTATACTTTTTGTAAAAGTATCTTAATTTTTAATTTCTTTCACATTTTATTATTTCACATTTAATTAGATCCTTAATTATACGATTATATAATTAATTCCATGATTATATAATTAATTACGCGATTATTGAATTAATTACATAAATATGTAATTAATTACTTAAATTTAATATAATAAAATTACATAACACACATTTAATTACATTATTAATTACACAAATTATTACTTAATTCATTACACAATTGAAGATTAAATTTAACTTACGTGGTTAAGTATAAAAACGGACTTCATTTCAGATTTCATCAAATTATCAATAATAATTTAATGAAATTTGCATTGAGTTTTATTAACTTAGTATAAAGTATAAAGTATAATATCGGTTTTAATTATTCAATAGTTGCAATGTATTATGGCAATAGTTAACTATACCAATGGTCGAGAACTACAGTACATGTTTACTACAGTGTAGTTTAGTAGTTCCGCCCACTGGTGTTACACAAAGTTTTACACTTACGCCCATGTGTCATTCAGCTCAGCTGTTTTGTTTGAGGAGAAAACCGACCGACGCATTTTTTTTCTGCCCTGACCTACTAAACATTTTGCAAATTCAAATACAAATATTAAAATTTTGTAATTTTAATATTATTAATATTATTGTTATTAACAATTATGAACGTTGATAAAACTTGTTTAAAATATTTATGTAAAAATAATGAGAAATTCTTATAAATTTTTCTAGAATATCTCAATATTTATGGTATAACTAAAGCTGTAAAATATTCACAATGTATTTAACAAATGTAACAAATGTAACAAATGTAACAAATGTTAAGTAACTACAAATAAAACATAAATTTTTAAACAAATTTAACATTTTTTATTAATAATAATAATAGTGTCTTTAATAAGGAGACTATTAGAAAATGCTTAATGTTGGTGGATAAATCTTGTAGCTTGTATTTAACCTTTACAGTTCATCCAATTCTTTTACCTTGGGCTGCTTGTTTAGCGGGAGGGATAGTTAGCTATTTTGTTGCCTTCATTTCCTTTACGTTCCTAAAATTTACCACAAGGGGTCCCAGTTTATTAAGCTGGTAAGACCTACTTAACTGTCAGATATTATATAGATTGTCAATCTATTTGTCTGTATTTTCAGATTTCAGTTGAAAGTCAATTTTGATCATTCTGTATACCAGATTTGCAAACTATCATTTATAAAATTCATTTTTGCTGCCCTATTTTCTTAATTGAAAATAGGGGTATTCACTCTCTCTTGTAAACTCATTGCAGGGAGCACGAAATGCAAGAATGCTATGTAAAAACTGCAAGACTGCGAGAACACCTCTGTTGCAGAATTGTATCATCAAAATGAATCAGCTGTTTTTGCAGTCGATTCACATTGAGCAAAGAAAAATAAAAGTATAACAATGCCGCGAACAAGTGAAATACAAAAATGTATAGATTTTTTAATTGAAAATAGTGCTTTTAATATTCTGATTGAAGGTATTAACATGTTGTTAATGTAGTTTTCACTACTATATAGTTTCTATTTGTTAGATGATGCAAATTACTGGGAAGTGATGGAGCAATTAAATGAAGACCTTTTGTTTACTTTAGTAAACCATCACAGAAATCACCAACCCGTACCAAAATCTATTCAATGGAGATCTACCATTCTTCAAGAATTTGATGAAGGCCGTTTTTGTCAGATGCTTACAGTAAATTGGAACGTATTTTCCTTAATAGTCTCACTAATAAACTATTAAGGATTGCTATTGTTTTATATCGTTTGGGTTCATCAGGCGAAAATGCGGCTATTCGTAAAGTCGCTACATTATTTGTTGTTGGGGATATATGTAATAATAATATAATATAAAAATAATTAGTATAATAAAAATATAACTAATTCTTAATTTATTATTGTTATTTGTTATATTTTTTATCGAGGGCGGTAGTGGGGCTTTGCACAGCAGAACGCACGACTTTCAGTGCAGAGCTGGATGATGTGTTGTCTGCAGACGATTCAATAAAAAAAACTTCGTTGCCTAGCGCAGAACTAGTTGGTGGCTATGGCAATGTTTCCGTACAAAATTAGACATGCGTCCAAACACTTCATTCAATAGTTCAAAATGTGAACAAATTTTCGTAAGTTTCGCTGAAATTGATATGTAAATAAATAAATTAATTCACAAATGTATATGTATATAATATTATATTTGTGAAAACTTAATTAATGGTCACATCGATTTAAATTATTGAACGAAACGCATGTATATATCACAGCCATAGATTAACATATCTCGAAATTTTACTAACAGTCAATTCAAATTTAAAAATGAGAAGCAACAAATGACAAAACAGCTGATTTCCGCCATTTCTGGTTTGTTGCAAGCAAATATACATAGGTTTCAGCATTGGAAGATTGCACGCAATTGCACGAAATTTTGTGCGTGTATTTTGTTGTTGTTATTTGCATTCTCGTACAATCTGTGCATTTCGTGCACCTTGCAATGAGTTTGCAAGAGAGAGTGAATACCCCTAATGTTAATTTTAAGCTTTTTACAAAATTCATTTTTTTGGAATATGATCAAGTATCTTAAGGTACGGTATATTATCAAATACTATATACTTTATAGTGGCCTAACTATAAAGTATACTAAGAAAGTGCTCCGGCTAGAAAGGTATTTGATTCGGTACCCGCAGGTGGAAAACGCGGCAGAGGACGTCCGCATCTTCGGTGGAAGGACCAGGTGACCAACGATTTGGGGGCGCTCGGTACTACCAACTGGCGTCAGAAGGCAACTAACCGGGCTGACTGGCGGAGGCTACTCGACGCGACCAAGGACGACACACGTCTGTAATGGCCAACCAAGTAAGTAAGTAACGTATACTCCTAAATATTTATTGTCCTGCTCAACATGTAACGACAAGTTTTGCTTGTTCTTTTGCTGGGGTAAACTCATCGGTTTGTCCTGGATCGTGACAACAAATTTTTACGAAATAAGGGACATAAACGTATTCACGCCTATAAGGAAAGGAACATAAACGTATTCACGCCTATAAAATTTAGTCGGAAATACATAAACGTATTCACGCTTATGTGGAATTTGGTTGGAAGTACATAAACGTATTCACGCTTACTCGAGGTTTACCTCCAACCGCTATTCAGAAACGAAAATCTCAAAGCTAAGAACAAGACACTGATATATAACCAAGTAATTCGTCAATCACTTCTATATGGTTGTGTAGCGTTCAGCAAAGCTTCAAACACTACTATTCACTGGCTAGAAATTGTACAAAGCCAGGCTGTGAGAAGACTTTTCAAAGTTTCATGGTAAATTAGGAAGAATGACATAATCAGGGACATTAAGATTGATCCCATCAAAAAATACATAAAGGATAGAGCCCTGAAATTAGGTATGCAGATCTGAGGTCAATTATTGCTTAGTCTTAGTCTGATGAAGTGATAAACAATAATCTAGTCAAGGTGTAGAGAGGGGTTTTGAAGAAACCTCGAGTTAAGAAAGAGTATAAGTGCTTAAGTGCACTAGCTCAAAACAGCTTCAACATAATAATTAATGTAAGTTAATTATAAAAAAAAAGAAATTGTTGACGCGGTTTTCTTGATAGTTAGCTGCTTTAAGGTGTCTACGATGATTGCTGAAAGTTCTCCAGCGTGCTTCTTATGACTTGGGATGTTGATCACTAAGTGTCTTTCCTGAACAAATGCGTTGTCTTATATACGCATTCGACCAAACGGTAGTGTAGCGCAAAGCTTAGTTTACAGCTGGCTGTTTTGCGCTTTCACCGCAGTTCTTTTAATAATGATTTAATGATATCGATTTCATAGTATCGATATGATGATCGACACTTCCGTGCTAGTGTTTTGCAGAGTATCTGTAAATAATTATAAAATAATAATTAATAAAAATGTAAATAATTAATAAGAGTTTAGATA